TGGACACTAAACAAACATTTAGGAAAAGCCTGTTCACAGACCCTCTATGGTCTCTTTACACTGAAAAATAAGAAAAAACGTCTGTGGACGGGCTAGAAAGGACTGAACACCAGAAACAGTAAACAACAGTAACAGAAAAAATGAGATTTAAACAAGACATTATTCCAACTCTACTCTTATTAACTTTATTTTCCATTTTAATCTACAAGTCTGTTTTTTCTTTTCTCTTTCTTGACATTGTCACTACAAACCGAAGTTAGATGGTCTTTTTTTACTTGAACTGGCCTGCAACACTATTTTCCCACGAAGTTGCTGAAGTACAAACTCATTTGAAACCAGTATATGAGACCACCTGTACTTGATTTCGTTGCGGGTTAGTGGACGTCTTTGCCGTGGTTGTAGCCCACTGATATCGCCCGTTTTAATTTTGACGGCGATCCCTACGTTCGAATCTCTTGTACGAGGGCAGAATCCGACGGAACACGTTGGACTGGACTCTAAATTAGAATCTCTTGCCTGGACTTGACGCTTAAGAGGCTGTCCGCGTAAGAACCGATAAGGCAAATTTCGGTCTATCACGGATTGCCCTGATTTTTTCAGTGGAAGATGACTATCCTATCCCATGAAGAAATATCACATTTATTTGGACCAACTCAATTTTTTCTCTATTTTACAGGAAGATTTTCTCGGTCACCTAAAACTAGTCAGTTTGCCGTCGGAAGTAGTGCGATTTTGGTGAAACTTTAGGGCTCTGTCAAACCTACCTTACATAGCCGAATAATCTGATTATTTTACACACAAAAGTTTTAACTCTCATTAATAGTTTTAATGTTTAATGGCTGCATTCTGTGGAAAGTTGGCTGAGATATGATTTTTTGAAAATGACCTTTAATTTGCTCAGCAGGAAAGTAATTTGCATAACTAGAGCTGAACGGTAATTTCGCAAAAGTGGCACCTGACCCAGACTCAAGTCTATGATAAATCAGAAGTACTAAGACCAGTCTACTTCTTAACGCAATAAAATTTGTGGGCACTCTTCTTTGCGTGCCGTGCAAAGTTCCGTTTATGTTCCAAAATTCGCCATTTTGACAGCAAAGCTGGAATTGTAACGGTCCGCATCTGATCGACTAATTTCCACAGCTTTAACGTTTCCAGTTATCACTAAATATCATTAGACCCTTTAAATGTTGGACGTTTGAAAACATGTGGAAAAACTTAGTAATCGCTTTTTCTTGGGTCTTTTTCTTGTCGACGATGAACGTGACTTCGTTCTCGGTATGCAAATTAGCCTTAGATCCGTTGTTTCAACAAATTGACAGGAAATATAATCGTTACATTCACATTTCTAAGGGGAAAAATAATTCTCCTTTCCACAGAAAAACACAAACCATGACTTAGAATCCCGTTAAGGTCTGTTTTTTTTTTTTAACGAGGAAGAAGCAGCTGAATAGTATATCATGATACATGTTTGCGGCTTAAAATAATTCAATTACTGTGGCCTGTCACGCATTCCTGAAGACGGGTGGTCGATTAGAAAACAATAGCGTTGTGTCGATCAATTCGATAATATTATCATCTTTTTTTTAAATGATAGTTATTGATAATAATAAAAAATAAGAGTTCACTTGCAAGGTAATTCCTCCTGTCAGCACACGAAAATGTTTGGGCACTCTTTTTTGCGTGCCTTTATAAAAAATAGCGTTAACGTCGAAAGCTGTATTGTGATATTTGCTTATCGGGAGAAGGCAGATCTTTGTACATGGCACTATGATAAAAAAAAAAAAAGGCCCCACACTTTTTCTATCTTAAATTAGCGGTAAATTTCAGTTTCATTCAAAGATCTTTAAAGTGTTTATCGGTAGCTTATCGGTAGCAGAATGAAAAGGGAAAAATAGTTCCTTTTTTCAGTGAATAAACGCAAAAGGGAGTATTTTTTCAGTTTTTGTTAGGGTATAACATCCGAATTCCAACGATGATCTTGTTTTGGTTTCAATCTGATTGAATTATAATGCAACAGGTGCCAGTTTCAAATTAAATATAACTATGTCACTGAAATCGCCGAAGAGATCAATTGTGAAAAATGGCTTTTTCGGCTATTTCATCAAGCAGTTCTTCCGCGAGATCGTAGACAGAGTGGGTCCCGGAAGGGGTGTGGAGGAAAATGTGTTGGTCACAGAGTGCATGGATGATATTACCTCGCACTTAGCCAGCTGTCACTTGTCTAAGTGTAGCAAGTGTAGCAAAGACAATGAAAATGAACTCATTTTTAGCGAGAGTACGTATTCGAGGCTTGGTGGGTATTCGGAACTGAAATGACAATCTGCCCAAGGCACAGACACTAAATAGCCTGTGTACAGACCCCCCTCTCAGGAAAAATCGGGGAAGGGGCCGCTTCTCCCAAGGGGGAAGGGTAGTGTGCAAACAGGCTAACACTAAAATGACAATCGGCTTTAGGCACAGGTTTTTGCGAGCGCCAAGGTCTTGTTAGGCTCGATTGTAAGCCGCTGTTCTGGAAAACGAGCCCCCAACGGACGGGGAGAGGGCGGAAATCGAGCCTAAGGTCTTGTCAATACCCCGGTCACACTCTGGATCATAATGGCAAAATAACTTCTGTGGCAGGAAGACACGTCGTAAATTTCCAGATAGCCAGCGAAATAAGTCAAAGTTTTGTTCCATCATTCTTTTTTCTTCTTCATGCAAACAATTGTCTTAACGTACAGAGATATTTTAATTTCTCTATTTAACATTTTATCTTGCGATGTTTCCTGAAGCTCGTTTCCAGTTTATTTGAGCTTGCAAAGATAGTTTTTGTTATTTCTATTTTTTTGACAGCCGTGTATCTTGCCCTAATCAATTCTTACCTTTAAAATACTATACATACCGGTTAATCCGTGTGTTGTGAAAGATTGTTTTCTGATGATTGTTTGAAGAGCATTATAAATGGGGAAAAAAAAACTTTCTACACGGAGTCAGGATTCAACCTCGTCCCCAGGGCTTTCCCGCGGCTGTCATTTTCTAAGAAGAATGTCCTGGGGACGAGGCTAGGAGTGATTGTGGTCGAGGTGTCGTTCACGTGTATGAAAAGTATTTCATTCTTGCAATAAAAATAACTTTTTTGAACTTAAACAGTGTTTAAAACATGTCTCTGGGTTTTGTAAAAATTAGTGATACTTAAAAGTACCTTAGTGTTCAGTTCAACTTTATATAGCCGATTTGCTCCTCCTGTCGCAAGAAACTTGAAAAAACTTGACGCCGAAGGGTCGAGAAGAGCACGATTGAACAGTCTGCAACCATGTCCACACATTTGCCGGAGAGGTTTATTGGACAAGATTTCTCTGTTTTTCTTGTTTGATAACGTTGTCATTAAGTCTTCAAAAATGCCTCCAGATTGCTGTTTTTTTTTTTTTTTTTGTATTTATACCCTCTTGAACAATGTGCTTCATCTCACCTCTCCATTTTTAACCTACTTTACCATGCACCCTCTCTCCCCACTTTTCCACCTCTACTTTAATAAGCATTTGTATTTAAGAGGGTGAAATTTCTCCCGTGTATATTAATTTCAGAAAAAATAAGTCCTTCTACTTTTCCTTAAATTCTTAAACTTAATTCTTTTTTCTTTAAGAACCACCAAAGATGCTGCTAAGGCTGCAATAAGCGCCCTCGCCCTTTTGTATACTTCATCTAGCGAAATGCCCGCCCTTTCATATACCTGAAGCCTGAAAAAGATACTCCTTTCGGGCGGAACCTCCCCGTATTGGCCATCATAGGGAGTTCCCCCCAATCCCGTTCCAATTCCGTGGTCACCTATTGCCAGCCCATGTTGGACTCTAGGCCCGTTTGAGTCAACACGTAAACATAATCCTAAGTGTATACAAGTTGAACTTGACCATAGAGATCTGTTGCAAGAAGACGAGGAGTTCGAAAGGCAAAAGCTTGTTGCAGAAATCGCTGAAGAATTGAGACCACAACACCCTCAACCTGAAGCTTTCAACCTATGTGTATGTCAAAGGAAGAACAACACCTAGTCAGTTCAACGTGGTAATGCTAAAAAAATCTTGTGTCACTTTAAAATACCATTCAAATCCAGGGAAAGAAAAGGAGACCTAGTTGACAAACTTTCGTCTTTCATACAAGATTGCATGTGCTTTTCTCCAACAGCTCAGGAGTGAACATATGGATCCTTAATTTAGTGTGATTAACAGCCGGCAAAACTTTTGGGATTTAACACTGAGAAGGACCTTAAACAATAACTATGCCTTTTTCTGCATGCCATTCCTCATTTTTACTGAAATGTTGTTAATTGGCGATAAACACAATGCTCTGTTAATACCACCCTAATGTTTGTATAGCCTATGGTTAGCAAGGGATCTTGGAAATGAAAGTACTTTGCAGGTGTGGTCCTATGCTGTCGCACGGTATCTCTGAAGTTGTTTGCGAGCTATTTCCAAAATATTAATTTTGATTCTGTAATTGAAAATATTGTGCTAGTGCTCGTGAATAAGAGTGGCCGTGTCCAAGTGACTACTTTGTAGCTAATTGTCGTGTATTACACCATGGGCTGTCATATTAAACCCTATCCTCACGGTAACTCCCGGGGATACTGACTCAGTTAAAACGGTCGTAGAATGAATAAATACAACAGTACGGTATTTCCCACCCAGTAAAGAATCGGAATTAACAGTGATTAAATTGTATGATTATCAATAACTATCACTTCAAAAAAAATATAATCAGATAAAAGAACTGATCGATACACGGCCACTCTCGGGGAATGCGTGACGGGCCACAGTAATTAAATTATTTTAATTCGCGTAAACATATCTTCTTCTACTACTTCTTCCTCGTGAAACAGACCTAAGGGAATTCTAAGTCATATATCGTTCGTGTTTTTCCGTGGAAAGTTCTAAGAGATATTTTCCCTTAAAAATGTGAAATATAAGCAGTTATGTTCCCTTTCAATTCAATTTGTTGAAACGACGCATCTAAGGCTAATTTGCATACGGAGAATGAAGTCGCGTTGTGATCGTCGACCAGGAAAAAAACCAAGAAAAAGCGATTACCAAGTTTTCTCCTCATGTTTTCAAAAGTCCAACATTTAAAGGGTCTAATGACATTTGGTGATAACTAGAAACGTTAAAACTGTGGAAATTAGTCGATCAAATGCGGACCGTTACAATTCCAGCTTTGCTGTCAAAGTGGCGAATTTGTAACATTAACGGAACTTTGTACAGCGCGCAGAGAAGAGTGCCCACAAATTTTATTGCATTAAGAAGTAGACTGGTCTTAGTACTTCTGATTCATCACAGACTTGAGTCTGGGTCAGGTGCCACTTTCGCGAAATTACCGTTCAGCTCTAGTTATACAAATTACTTTCCTGCTGAGCAAATTAACGGTCATTTAAAAAAAATCATATCTCAGCCAAATTTCGACAGAATGCAGCCATTAAACTTTGACACTGTTAATGAGAGTTAAAACATTTGTGTGTAAAATAATCAGCTTATTCGGCTATGTAAGGTAGGTTTGACAGAGCCCTAAAAATTCACCAAAATCGCACCACTTCTGAAGGCAAACGGGCCAGTTTTAGGTGACCGAGAAAATCTTCCTGTAATATAGAGAAAAAATTGAGTTGGTCCAAATAAATGTGATATTTCTTCATGGGATAGGATAGTTATCTTCCACTGAAAAAATCAGGGCAATCCGTGATACAACGAAATTTGCCTTATCGGTTCTTACGCGGACAGCCTCTTAAGCTGCCAGGAAACAGTCAGAACTTGACTCTAACAGGCGTAAAGACCAGACTTATCCCCAAGGTCTGGTCACAGCAAAGGTAACAAGAGCCAAGAAAATAAGAAATAGGGAAAGAGCCAATGATTTCTCACGAGGTTCACCCTGATATGCCTCAGTTAGTGGCAAGAACAGTTCTTCTTTGCATACATCTCTGTAACAAATGCCAGTCTGATCCACTGACCTGTCGTGGTGTCAAGAAAGTAGTGTTAGTACTAGTATACTGTCAGTACAGAGACTATCTTAGGAAGTTATGCCGGATTTGCAGTGACGAAAGTCTGATACTCAAAATTTCAATTGATGGCAAAAAACCTTTTTAGAATTTGGATGCGTTGCGTAGGTGTTGAGCAAGGTATTATCATAATACTTTGCTCAACACCTAAGAAACGCGGGTAAAATCTACATTTTAGAGTTGTCACTTTATTTGATAAGATCAGATGGGCTTCTAACAACATGAATTTGCCGCCGTTAAGTTATTTGAGAGCTAAAGTTTCGAATGCTATAAACCGTTTTCGTCAGAGCGAATCCCCAGAGAAAGTCGCTACGTCAAAATGAAGCTAAGAAATACTGACTAAATTGACCACGTGAAAATGATGCTTCGCTTTGACAAAGGGGCGGTAGTCTTTGGTTTTAAATTCCTTTACTTTGAACAATTTACCTCATCGACCCAGCTAATGAAATCAAATTTTCCTAGCCGACTTAGCCTCCCACGCAACCGTTTTTGTCTCATCACGCAACGCTCCTGCTCTTCCTGGGAAGGAGCGTTGCGTGATGAGACAAAAACGGTTGCGTGGGAGACTACAACCAACGTAGCACTTGATCCGTCATACGCCGTTAGCCGTTCAAGTGAGACAAAATCCCCTTATTACGGATTTACGAACACAGTCTGGTCTTGAAAGGACATTTACTCTCGTTATAACGGGCAATGAGGGGCATTTAGACAGCAGTAGGTTTTTTCTTCAGTTTTATCATCCTGCTATTACACGCACGCGGGCGGTCCCGAGTGTGTCCACAGGAAGTTGATTCAATGTAAGAGGACCCTTGTTTCGCCTTGTTGTGCATGAGAGCCGCTCAACAGGTGCCGAATAGGGTTATTGCAGACACACACAGAACCAAAGGAACGTTGACGGGGACTAAATCCATGAAAAATGGAACACAAAAAACGAAACATGACTGTCGTTTCAACGCATGCGCATAGACTGACCTTTTAACTCTCTGTGATTTGACGGCGGGCACTTTAATGAAAACAACTGAGCTTGTCACCATAAAGTATTGGAAGTGAGGCGGGTAGTTCCTAGTGTTCTCCGTACCACTTGCGGGAGGACTGACGGATGAACTTACAGTGAGATGGCTAGATAATGAAGACGCCGTTGGTGACGGGAGAGATGAGTGAGCGGCAGTAGGGCTCGATCCAGAACTCACTTTCATGTTTGTTACGTTATCATTGGATGATGTAGCTGGCCGGAGGGAAGGGGGTGCAGAGTTAGGGTTGATGACTGTGATGTTTGTTGCGCCACTGGTTGATGAAGATGCTGGTAAGAGGGATAGAGGTACGAAGTTAGGGTTATTGCCTGGTATGTTTGTTGCGCCACTGGTTGATGAAGATGCTGGTAAGAGGGATGGAGGTACGAAGTTAGGGTTATTGCCTGGTATGTTTGTTGCGCCACTGGTTGATGAAGATGCTGGTAAGAGGGATGGAGGTACGACGTTAGGGTTGGTATCTGTGATGTTTGCTGCGCCACTGGTTGATGAAGATGCTGGTAAGAGGGATGGAGGTACGAAGTTAGAGTTGATATCTGTGATGATTGTTGAGCCACTGGTTGATGAAGATGCTGATAAGAGGGATGGATGTACCAAGTTAGAGTTAAGTACTGAACTCAAAGCCAGGGGTGACATAGTTGCTTGTGACGTGTCAAGAACGGTGGATGAAGCTGCGGCTGCTGGAGTAGCTGAGGGACTGGGTACCAACTGAGTTAAGTCTGTATCAGTATCACTGGGGGCTGAACAACTTACACCACTGACACACTTGAACTGCCACGTGCTAAACTGGAATGTAACAAGAACAATTAGGTGCAATAAGTGAAAGTAAGACGACAACGCGGGAAATTTAGCTGCCGATGAACGTACTCAACTGAGACAAAATATCAAAAGTATTTTCGACCAATCTCGTCGTTTGCACATTTCGCTGCTATATTATACATATCATCCGAGAAGGGCAAATGAGCGAGTGCGGCGGCCCAGTTACAAACCACTTCACGCAAATTTGCGGAACTAAAAGAGACTGCATGGTTCAGGTAAAAGTACTATTCCTACAATACAGTTTCGTTTAACTACGTGCAACCTTTGTTTTTCTGAAACAATTTGGTGAGACCGAAAGGTAACGCGGGATGCGTACAAAAAAAGTAACTCAGTTGAAAATTCTTTCCACCGAAGAGGAGCGTTCTGGAGGCATCTCGAAGAGCTCTTGTGATCGCTTGAAAGAAATAGAAATCTCGAGTTCGCCTTTCAACTGTCAAGAAGAATGAGACTACTCGTGGTGTGTTGAAACGTAAACTATGTGTCTTTGTGAGAGAATTTCTTTATTTTCCCTTCTCTTTGTTGGTATTACAGACACTGAACGGGCGACGTATAATCACACTAATTCTTACTTGATTCTCGTTCCCACTATTTCCATCTGAGGTACGCCGCCGTATTTCCCAGCATCCGTCACCAGCATCTCAATTATTACTCCGCTAGGAATGCCGGGACAAGTTCCCTCTTCCGAGGAGGATTCGGAATTATTGCTTATTGGCTCTCTAAATAAAACAAAGCAAAACAAAACAAAATAAAAAGATTTCAATAAGTTTCATCATTATTTACCAACGTATCAAACCGCATTAACAAAATTTTCTTCAACAAAAGAGCCTTAATTGTAGTTTTACCAATTCAAGTCCAGCGAACTACATTTAAAAGCTTTCGGAACTGACTTCAACAATATAATATTTAGACAATACTGTTTGGCGCTTAGTTGCCTCACAGAGAATTTGCTTAGGACACAATCACAAAATGAAACAAAACTTGGCTCAAAGATACTTTCTGAAGCTCAAAATAAATTTGTGTAGATTCTCTGGAGTAACGACTGGATGACGGTGACATAATTTTGACTTCTCTTCAGCATGTTTAGACAATTCGCCATTTCCGAGATCCAAAAACTCTCACTTTTAAAGGGAGGCTGAGTGCAAAATCTATCTTGAGAAAATGAGTTCATTTCCATATCAACAGCTTCGCACTTAGTCTCGCTTTGAAACAGAGGCTTGGGGCAACTCGGAAATGGTCTGTTAACCCTTTAAGCCCCAATATCCACATACAAATTCTCCAAACTGATCTCAATACTTTTCCATAAAAAATGTGTTGAGAGAATTTCATAAATAATCAAAGCATTTTCTCTTTGATGATCATTTTATTGATTCTCATAACTTTATCTCTTGACAATGTATGGATATTGTTAGGAGAAAATTGATGTTGGTCACTATCTGGCCTTAAAGGGTTAACTGCGGTTGGTTCAAAGACTTAAAAAAGTTACGGATTCTTAAATACCTTACCTTATTACTGGCAGCCAATCAGCGAGGACGCTAAGGTTTGCATTACCACTGCGACCAACATGTGTGGCTTGGATCAGGCGATTCTGGTTAATTAGAACCATTTCTCTTAAATAGGAGCAGTTGCGCATGTCCTCAAACGATAACCGCAATAAACAACCGGAAAACGCATCCTCGCCATAAAGGATAGGGGTAAGAGTGGATCCCGCGCATAGACTATCATGGCCTGGGGACCAAACTTGAAGTTTGCCAGCGATAACCTAGAAAGGCGAACAAAACGTTAGGGTGCTGCAACAATTTAAACAAGACAAAAAAAATTCATCAATATCAGTAACTGGTTATTTGATACGCAACATTGATCTAAGCGTGAGAAAACAGCTGACATTTCGCGCTGACGCCAACACTGGTTTCCCAGACGTCTGAGAAAGTCTGTTTTTCAGGCTACATTGATCTCTCATTTAACTTCTTTCGTTCCTATCCAATCAGAGGAGGGCCATTCTGCCCAATCGTTGTGACATTAACCTAGCAAAGTAGTTTTGCCCTATTCTTCCAAGAAACTCTCTCAAAAATGAGCAACAACATTTAACCCTTTCATTCCAAGAGTTAAAAAAAGTCCAAATTCAAGGGGAAATAAAACA